CCAACAATCAAACGCTATTGCCAGAAATTGAGCACAGTTGAAATAGCGGAGCGGGAAGGGCGCAACGCGTCGGAACAAGTTAGTGTTGGAAGCTGGCGGGCCCAGAACAGCTTGATCGCTAAGTTGGGCACTGTAGACGGAGCGTTACAAGGACCAGGGCAGACTACCTTCAGCAGTTTTTCAGCGGACGGTTCATGTACAACAAATCTGAAGCAGCGTTTGGCTTTAAACAGTAAGAGGTCGCCGCACTGGGAACGTGCTCGTGCTCAACGACCGCAGTTAGGAAATGTTCGATGAGGACCTGTGGTGCGTCATGAACGACGGAGGAAAACTTGAAGACGTGACACACGATGAAGGGCTAAGGGAATCTGATAAAGCACATGATGGTCTTCGGGAGTTCTTGGCAGCACCCTGTCACACATTATGTGAGGGCGAGCCCGTTTTACCGCACGTGCAATCGAAGTAGCAGGCGTGAGTTGCTTCGGAAACAGAGGGGGAAAGTATCTTCTCAAACAGGGGAGGAGCTGGATCGAATAAGGCGCCGAGTTATCTCTGGTGGCTTGCAGAGCCGTGGGGTCGCCAGGCGTGGGGGCCCACGTCCTGGTCGGGCCAGCCGAAGCATCGTCGTCAGGGAAACACTACAGCGCAGAAGGCGGATCCGATAGGAGGAATCACGGACTCAGGGTGATAGCAGGAGAAACCGAAGAAGGCGCTGTGCTTAGCATGATTTTCCAGATCATACCTGTTAAAAAGGTCGCAGGGCCAGCCTGAGGAATGGCAGAGGCAGGCAACGGGGTCGCGTTGGGCCGAGTTGCCCAGAGGCCGTGTAGTTACCTGGACCACAATACCATTGGCAAGAGGACGGTCATCCATGGGAGGACCAGGAATTTGTAGTGTATTATCCATTTTCCCCAAATTGTGATAACGGGCTGCCTTGAGGAGGGAAGTCTCGGAGGTTAATGAGGGCGAAGGTCTTCCCCGGCACGGTACGTTCATTGCGGACTCTTCCTGTTCGATCGAGAGACCCGTGGGTACCAGCACAACTCCAGTTGTTCCGAGTACCGACTAGGACAAGGAAGACGAGGATCGGCGGGGGTAGCGAGTCAAGCGATGTGAAAGACGAGTTAGGCGAGATACGCGACGAGGAAAGGGAGGAGCAGGAGGAGGAGGAGGAGGAGGAGCAGGAAGCATTTGACCGCCCCAGCGTTTTGGGGTGTGTCAAAGTGCTAGGCCTGGAAGCCGAAGCAGACATCCCGCGAACATGCTCACCGCACATTGCTTGTTGCACGTTCGCGTGCGGTGCGCGCGCCATGTATGCCACCAGTGTTGACCTCGTGGCACCACGTTGGCGACGGGGGACCTATACATGCTAGTAAGACTAAGCATAAGAAACAGACTTGTGCGACTAAGAAAAGAAGCGCACTAATGAAACCAATGATGAGAAGAACATTGACACTCTTACCAATAATAATAGGAGCAATAAACATAAACTACGAAAATGAAGAGGAATAATAAGAACACGCACTATAATGCACATACATGCTATTAACCATCAGAAAATACTTAAAAGCGTACTGAAACGACGAATGCTGATAAGAAGCAGACGAATAAGCATACTAATACTAACACGAATAATCATGATACTGATAAGAAAAATCAAAAGATAAGGAGGATGAGGAGGAGGAGTAAAAGAGTTCAGGGAGGAGGAAGAGGGGGGAGGAAGAGGAGGAGGATGATGATATCAGGATGAGGGGGAGGAGGAGGGTGAGAAGGACGATTCATGATAAAAAACAACGATGAGCTGACGAATGATGATATCATACCAAAGAAAAAGTGTATTGATACTAAGAGTAGTCATAAGAAGTAGACGAACATTGATAATATCAAGAAGGAGAAGGTACTGGATACTACTAGAAGTATTATCAAGGCCAATACTAACCATACGAACAACATTGATAATAGGAATCTAATGTTAATAATGAGAAGAACCATGATACCCATAATGGTATCGATAGCAACACTACTGCTTGTACAATGAACCGCATCATCAACATGCATAATAATATCACTATTGCTAAACGTAACAGTAATACGAGGAATACTAAGACGAATCATCATACTAATCATAGGGCTGATAAACATAGCACGATTAACAATCATAGTAATACTAATCGTACGGGTGCTACTACTAGTATAAAGCGAATGCTACGATGAATACGATAGTACAAATATTCGTATTACTACAACACGTAGTATCCGTATCAATAGCAATACGAATCTGAGACACATGATCGTCATTAATACCAGTAGTGCTACTAATGACAATAATAGTTGTATTCATGACACCATTTGAGACTAGTAAGAGGAGCCACAATCCAGTTACCCATCATAATTCAAATGTTAATACGGAAAATCCGAATCATAAGTGCAGGAGGAGGAGGAGGAGGAGGAGGAGGAGGAGGAGGCGGAGGAGGGGAGGAGGAGGAGGAGGAGGAAGGAGGAGGAGGAGGAGGAGGAGAGGAGGAGAGGAGGAGGAGGAGGAGGAGGAGGAGGAGGAGGAGGAGGAGAGGAGGATGGAGAGATGGAGGGAGGAGGATGGAGGAGGAGGAGGAGGAAGGAGGAGGAGGAGGGGAGGAGGAGGAAGTGGAGGAGGAGGAGAAGGAGGAGGGAGGAGAGAAGAGGAGGAGGAGGGAGGAGAGGAGGAGGAGGAGGAGGAGGAGGAGGAGGCGGGAGGAGGAGGAGGAGGAGGAGGAGGAGGAGGAGGAGGAGGAGGAGGAGGAGGAGGAGGAGGAGGAGGAGGAGGAGGAGGTCGACGGCCGAGGGGGGACGCGGTTCAGGGGCCATTCCGCCGCAGGTCTGGTGACGAGATCGCCGCCGCAGTCGGGGCGGTGGACCGCGCCAGCGCGGTGTCGGCCGCGCTGGCTCCCGCGCAGGCCTCGCCTGCGGGGCCACGCGCCGCTCCGATTCCTCTCGGGGGCCCCCACGCGGTGCAGTTCAGTGACCCCGCCATGTGGTGAGTCAGTGGAGATTTTCGGCCGCACGGTCGTGATACCCAGGGGGGCCCCAGTCGCCCGAGACATTCTCGGAGGTTCGGTCGCCGGGAGTCTAGTTTTTTCCGGACGTTCTTGTGCGCTGCCAGGGGTTGTCCTGCCTCGGGAGGCGCCCCGGCAGCTGCGCCTCGCAGGAAGCGTTCCCGGGTTGCCGCATCGTCCCGGACGGCCGCGGGAGACCCGAGTGGTGGCACGAAAGCCAAACAGTCGGAGGAGTGTTGGTGGGGCGAGTCAGTGGGGATTGGGGGTCACCGCACGGTTTCAGGATTTGTGCCGTTCTTCGAGGATGTTTCGGGCGACCAAAACCCCACGGTCCCAAATCCGCGCGGTGTCGGGCGATGCGGTGAGGTCTTTTGGGTTTCGAAGTCACCGCGCGGTAGTCACCGCACCGTCTGTCACCGTACGGTCGGTTACCGCACGTTTTGGGACCCCCAATCGTCCCGCGGCCTGCCGTTTTCTTCTCGAAGGAGCAAGAAGTCACGACAACGATGCGCTTCAGGATGCCCCAGACTTCTAGGCAAGACTCTGGAATCATCGAGGACACGAAAACGTGGATTAAGGCGCCTGGATTAGCGACGGCTCCCATTTCCGTACGTGCTCGGTGCGATCCGTCGCCAGATCAAAATGGCATTGGCTTCGTGCTTATGGCGGTACATTCCCAGGTCCGTGGATCTGGCGCCCGCGCGCCAAATCCACGAATCCGCAGTCCATGTCATTGTGTACCCGATTCTCTCCAGAGGAGCAGGCGGTCACGATGACGACGCGCAACAGGGTGTCCAAGACTTCCTACAATGGCAGGGCGCTGAAACGATGAGCAGCTCGTGTTCGAGGGGGCCCGCTGTTCTTCAGCTCCTTCCCCTCCTCTTGGCGCCAGTAGCCACCCTGTGGGAGAAAGAGGGGCTCGGTCCCCTGCTCCGCGCGGACTCCAGAGGGCGAGGGCTGCGGGATGCTCGGGACCTCCTGGAGCGCCTCCCGAGCCAGTCGCGTCATGACATCGCGGCCACATGAGCGGCGCAGAAAAGCGGGTGAGACTGCGCCGATATTCGCGCGCAAGGTGCCCGCGAAAGGTCGCGCGCAAGCGCTCTATTTTCCCACGCGGCGGGCCACGCTGACGGCCCACGTGAGCCGTCGCGTAAGGCTGCTGCGTCATCTCGTGTGAGACCCGTTTCTTTTCGCCGCTCAGGTCGCCCGCGGGGCCCGCGACGGTACCCGCGCCTCGCGCGCCGCTGTCCTTGGGCCTAGGGCGGTTGTTCGGCGATGAGCGAGGGGGGGAAGTGAGAAGAAAAAGGCTTTCTTAGAAGGCTCGGAAGTCCCCGGGCCTTCTGAGAAGTATTCCAAGCCTTCCCCGAATGCGCGGGAATTTCTGAGAAGTCCCGCCGCCGTCGAGAAAGCCTTCTTCTTCTCACTTTCCCCCCTCGCTGGCCGCCGAGCCACGCGTGCCCGAGCGCTTGGGCTGCAAAAGCGCCGCGCGCGCTCATTGCTCCTCGCGGGGGCACGGCGAGACGAGAGACGAGAGCCCGAGAGGCGCTCTGGGCGCGTGACCGACGGAGGGACGCATGACAGAAGAACGGGCCGCGGCAGGCAGCCAGGGAGGAGGAGGAGGAGGAGGTAGAGGAGGGGGAGGGGAGGAGGGGGGAGGAGGAGGAGGAGGAGGAGGAGGAGGAGGGGAGAGGAGGAGGAGGAGGAGGAGGAGGAGGAGGAGGAGGAGGGGAGGAGGAGGAGGAGGAGGAGGGGGGAGGGGAGGGGGAGGGGAGGAGGAGGAGGAGGAGCCTCAGAGGGAGCTTCACCGAAGAAGATATTCACAATTGCGGTACCCACAACTGCATATGGTTGGGCCCTTCGCCAGGATGATTCTTGATCATGTTTGAAGTTTTTTTTGATTATGTTTTATTTTTCGTCCAACATCCGCCTGCAGTGGGACATGCCCGACCTATCCCTGGATGCAGCGCCCCCCTCCCCCGCCCCCTTCCCTCCCGCAGTTGCCCGCTCGTGCTCCGCCGGGAGGGGGAGGAGGAGGAGGAGGAGGAGGAGGAGGAGGAGGAGGAGGAGGAGGAGGAGGAGGAGGAGGAGGAGGAGGAGGAGGAGGAGGAGGGGAGGAGGGGAGGGGAGGAGGGGAAGGAGGAGGGAGGAGGGGGAGGAGGAGGAGGAGGAGGAGGAGGAAGAGGAGGAGGAGGTAGAGGGGAGGAGGGGAGGAGGGAAGGAGGAGGAGGAGGGGAGGGAGGGGAGGGGGAAGGAGGAGGAGGAGGAGGAGGAGGAGGAGGAGGAGGAGGAGGAGGAGGAGGAGGAGGAGGAGGAGGAGGAGGAGGAGGAGGATGAGGTAGGGGAGGAGGAGGTGGAGGGAAGCAACAGGAGGGCGGGGTGGCGGGGGGGGGCGCGGCGCGCCGGCGAGGAGGTCGCCATCGAGGGGCCCAGGCCGTCGGCGAAGACGTACCTCAGGCGGAAGGCGGACCTGCAGGCGGGTGCGGGCGGGAGGGGGGAGGGATGCTGACGGGGGGGGGTGATGATCGGGGGTGATGATCACCACCCACCAGACCACCCCAACCCAACCCGAAGGCTCAGATTTACCCTCGATTTCCAGTGGGGGGGGTTCGGGAAACATCGAACAAACACATGTGGAACCCTTACCCCCCCCAACCCGAGATTCGGGTCTTCGGGTTAGGTTGGGGTGGTCTGGTAGGTAGTCAGATGACTCGGGCCGGACGAAAGGGGGGGATTGGGAAAGGGGGGGTTGCGAAGTTTGCTACATGCAGCTGGTTTCGGGCTCACCGAGGGGCCCATTCCTCGATACATCGCCGCCTCTGGCGGCGGATGATGACTGGGGGGGTGATTAGGGGAACAAAAGTGTCATAAACATAAAAACTCGGAGGTCCGCGCGGATTTCTCGGACCGGCGCTGGACCCCCCTGGCGGCGCCTCTGGCGCCGCCCCTGGCGCGCTCCGCGCGCCAGGGAGGGGGGTCCAGCGCGGATCCGAGAAATCCGCGCGAACCTGCGAATTTTTATGTTTGTGCCACTGTTAGTTCCCCTAGTGATGATTAAGAGGGGGGGTGGACTTCATGGCGGGGGCCATGACATCTCCCCAGACTTCATGGCGCCTCTTCTCGCGACGCGTCCCCATACCCTCCCCCCCTGGGCCGCGCACGTGCCGCCGGCCACGATTTTTGCGACCCCCCCTCGTGGACGCTTCTCTCCTGGACGCCCCCGATGAGCCAGTCCCTTGTTGTCGGCCACTCGCAAAGGGGGGTAGGAGGAGGGGGGAAGGCTTCTTAGTAGTACCCCTGCTTCTTAGAAGGCGCTGGCCTTCTCTACAGACGTGAGGCTGGGGCCTTCTGAGAGGCAGGGTGCTTCCAAGGAGCCTTGCCCCCTCCCCCTGCCCCCCCTCGTGCGCGCCGCCAAGTGGGGGCAGATTTCTGTCGCCACGAGCAGACATCGAGGATCGAGTTCTTGGCATGTCCTATGCGTTTCTCTGGGCCGCCCGGGGCGCCCTCGTGGCCACGGCCAGATTCGCCGCGAGATTCTGGCAAGGGCATCCGTTCATCCCCCTTTGCCCCCCTCATCCTCGTTTGCTTCCTCGTCTTCCTCCCGATTATCCTCTTGCTTCTGTTCCTCCTCCTGTCCCACCTCGGCTTCGCGATGCTCCTCGTCTCCCCCGCTCCTCGGCGGGGCTTCTTTCTCCTCCCCTCCCCCTTTTCTGGCGGTTCCTCCTTGCGCCGCTCGTTTTTGACCGTTTTTGCCCTCCAGGTCTTCCCCACTGGTCCCTCTCTCCCTTCTGATGTTGTACTTCTCTTCGTTCCCGCTCCTCTTCCTTGCGCCCTCCCTCCCCCTCTCGCTGGTCTTCCGCCAGCCCCTGTTTCTCCTCCTCGTCCTCCTCCCCCAGGAGGGAAACGATGATGATGATGATGCTGATGATGATTGATGATGATGATGATGATGATGATGATGATGATGATGAGGAGGAGGATGAGGATGATGATGATGATGATGATGATGATGATGATGATGATGTGGATGTGGATGTGGATGATGGTGGTGGTGGTGGTGGTGGTGATGATGATGATGATGATGATGATGATGATGATGATGATCAGGATGAGGATGGAGCGTGTGGGCTGGAGGGGGAGAGGGGATATGGGAGGGGGGTGCGATCGAAGACGAAGAGGGCGGGTATCGAGGGTTAGGGGTATACATGTTGAATGGCACGCTAGCAGATAAGAGCGGACAGCCTTATAATTATTGCCGCCGTCGTCGTGATCGTGCTCCATCCTCCTCTCTCCCCTTGTCCCTTTCTTCCATGCCTCCTTTCCCCTGCCGCATGGGCTGTAAGAAAGATATACCCCAAGGGGCTACCATGGAAGACAAAGAGGGTGGGGGCCGAGGGTTTGGGATATACGCGTTGAAAGGCACGTGAGCATAAAAGAGCGAACCGTCTTCAAATTATTGTTGTTGTTGTTGCCGCTGCTGCTGCTGCTGTTGTTGTTGTTTGTGGTGGTGGGGTGGTGGCGTTGTTGTTATTGCTGTTGCTGCTGTTGTTGTTGTTGCTGTTGGTGTTGTTGTTGTTGTTGTCGCGATTGTTATTGTTGTTGTTTTTGTAGTTGTTGTTGTTGTTGCTGCTGTTGTTGATGTTGTTGTTGTTGTTGTTGTTGTTGTGGTTGTTGTTGTTGTTGTTGTTGTTGTTGTTGTTGTTGTTGTTGTTGTGGTTGTTGTTGTTGTTGTTGTTGTTGTTATCGTTGTTGATATTCTCGTTCGGTAGTAGTAGTAGTAGTAGTAGTAGTAGTAGTAGTAGTAGTAGTAGTGGTAGTAGTAGTAGTAGTAATAGTAGTAGTCGTAGTAGTAGAGTAGTAGTAGTAGTAGTAGTGGTAGTCGTAGTAGTAGTAGGTAGTAGTAGTAGTAGTAGTAGTAGTAGTAGTCTAGTAGTAGTTAGTAGTAGTAGTAGTAGTAGTAGTAGTAGTAGTAGTAGTAGTAGTAGTAGTAGTCGTCGTAGTAGTAAGTAGTAGTAGTAGTAGTAGTAGTAGTAGTAGTAGTAGTAGTAGTAGTAGTAGTAGTAGTAGTAGTAGTAGTAGTAGTAGTAGTAGTAGTAGTAGTAGTAGTAGTAGTAGTAGTAGTAGTAGTAGTAGTAGTAGTAGTAGTAGTAGTAGTAGTAGTAGTAGTAGTAGTAGTAGTAGTAGTAGTAGTAGTAGTAGTAGTAGCAGTAGTAGTTGTTGTTGTTGTTGTTGTTGTGGTAGTGGTTGTTGTTGTTGCTGTTGTTGTTGTTGCTGTTGCTGTTGTTTATGTGGTTGTTGTTGTTGTTGTTGTTGAGTTCCCCCTACTGAAGAATAGTTGTTGGTTGACCCCCCGTCTGGGGCACATGGCATTTTTTAACTGACGTGTTTTTCCTTGCGATCGCACCCTGCTTTCCATCAGGGAAAGTCTTGGGTCTCAGACTTGGGCCCCTGGCCCCCAGTTCACAACAACAACAGCGGCTCCATACTTCCTCACAATGTATTCCCAAATCGCGCTCTCGTGGAGGACGTCCTCACAATTTATGCAAAGATCGCGCTCTCGCGTGGGACCTCTCGCAATTTATTCAGACGCCGCGCCCTCGACACTCAGGACTCCCGCTTTCGCTTTGGCCTATCTCACGATTCACGTGGGAATTGCGCTATCGCTCGAGACTCGCGCAGGACGCACGCTTCAGCAATCCGCCTGCTCGACCTGGCCGCCTGGGCCCGCCTTCCCACCCGCCTGTTGGGGTCTACCCGCCCGATCTGCCCATCTGGTCCTGCCGCATGTTTTCTGCTCCGAGCCCCCCTCCTGCTACTCTCTCTCGTGCTCCATCCTCCTCCCTTTCCCTTGTCCCTTTCTTCCATGCGTCCTCTCTTCCCCTGCCGCAGGGGCTGCATGACATACACGTTGCAGGTTAGAACGATATGCCCCCAGGGGGGTACCATCGAAAACGAAGAGGGCGGGTATCGAGGGTTTGGGATATACGTATAGAATGGCACGCGAGCAGATATGATCGAACCGTATTAACATATTTATTGTTGTTGCTGTTGTTGTTGTTGCTGCTACTGCTTTTGTCGTTGTTGTCGTTGTTGTTGTTGTTGTTGGCGTTGTTGGTGTCGTTGTTGTTGTCGTTGTTGTTATCGCTGTCGTCGTTGTTGTGGTTGTTGTTGTAGTGGTTGTTATTGTTGCTGTTGTTGTTGGTGGTGGTGGTGGCGTTGTTGTTTTTGTCGCTGTTTCTGCTGATGATGATGCTGTTGATGATGGTGGGGAGGATGAGGTGAAGGATGCGGAGGACGAGGACGATGATGCTGTTGATGATGATGCTGATGCTGTTGATGATGATGATGCTGATGATGCTGACGATCATGCGGATGGTGATGATGGTGCTTCTGATTATGGTAATGCTGATGATGATGGTGATGGTGGTGATGATGGTGATGATGGTGATGATGGTGATGGTGGTGGTGCTGATGCTGATGCTGATGATGCTGCTGATGACGCTGATGATGATGATGCTGATGATGACGATGATGACGATGATGATGCTGATGATGCTGATGATGATGCTGATGATGGTGATGGTGATGGCGCTGATGATGATGATGATGACGCTGGCGATGATAATGATAATGAGGAGGAGGAGGATGCTGATGCTGCTGATGATGGTGACGGTGATGATGATCCTGATGCTGATACTGATGATGCTGATGATGGTGACTGTGATGGTGATGGTGATGGTGATGATAGTGGTGATGGTGATGATTGTGGTGGTGATGGTGGTGGTGATGATGGTGATGATGGTGATGGTAGTGGTGGTGATGATGGTGATGATGGTGATGATGTCGATGGTGTTGGTGATGATGATGGTGATGATTATGATGATACTGATGATGATGGTGATGATGACGATGCTGATACTGATCATGATGCGGGTGATGCGGATGATTCTGATGATGATGCTGATGATGCTGATGATGACGATGATGATTCTGATAGTGATGATGATGATGATGATGATGATGGTGACGATGACGGTGATGACGATGATGATGATGGTGATGATGGTGATGATGATGGTGATGATGGTGATGATGATGATGATGATTGTGGTGGTGATGATGGTGATGATGGTGATGATGATGGTGATGTTTGTGATGGTGATGCTGATGCTGATACTGATGATGCTGCTGATGCTTCTGATGTTGATGATGCTGATGATGATGCTGATGCTGATGCTGATGACGCAAATGATGCTGATGACGATGTTGATGCTGATGATGATGACGATTACCATGATTGTGATGATGATGATGGTGATGACGATGATGATGACCATGATGACGATGATGATTACGACGACGATGATGATTGTGATGAGGACTGTGATGATATGCTGATGATGATGCTGATGATGAGGAGGATGATCATGATGATGCTGATGATGATGATGGTGACGGTGATGGTGATGATGATGCTGATGATGATGAGGGTGGTGGTGGTGATGATGACGATGACGATGACGATACTGATGATGACGATGAGGATGATGATATTGGTGGTGATGATGATGAACATGATGATACTGCTGCTGATGATGACGAAGGTGGTGGTGATTATGATGATGCCTGCTGCTGCTGCTGACGGTGGTGATGGTGGTGATGATGATGATGATGTCGATGATGATGATGATGATGATGATGATGATGATGATGATGATGATGCTGATGATGATGATGATGATGATGATGATGATGATGATGATGATGATGATGATGATGGGGTGGTGATGGTGATGATGCTGCTGCTGATGATGCTGATGAGGATGCTGGTGATGACGGTGTTGATGGTGATGATGATGCTGATGATTATGATCCGCCGGCCCCCTTGTGGGGCCACCAGGCTGCGAGGAGCGGGATTCGCAGCTTCCTGTACCAGTTGTAGCTTGTAGTTTCCAGTGTTACAGTTCTGCTTATTGCTGGTTACTGTAACTAGTTGATTGACCGCGCGAGGGGGGGGAGGCCCAAACCGGCTTTTCAGCACCCCCTGAGCGCGTTGTCTGAATTGCTGGGGGGGCTCGAAATCGACACCCCTCACGCAGATCCGCGTGGTCAGGGTCCAAAAACTCAAGGGATTTGCCACATTTCTGAAATTCGGTGCCACCCCTCACGCAGATCCGCGGGGTCAGGGTCCAAATACACAGGGGATTTGCCACATTTCTGAAATTCGGTGCCACCCCTCACGCAGATCCGCGGGGTCAGGGTCCAAAAACACAGGGGATTTGCACATTTCTGAAATTCGGTGCCACCCCTCACGCAGATCCGCGGGGTCAGGGTCCAAAAACACAGGGGATTTGCCACATTTCTGAAATTCGGTGCCACCCTCACGCAGATCCGCGGGGTCAGGGTCCAAAAACACAGGGGATTTGCCAATTTCTGAAATTCGGTGCCACCCCTCACGCAGATCCGCGGGGTCAGGGTCCAAAAACACATGGGATTTGCCACATTTCTGAAATTCGGTGCCACCCCTCACGCAGATCCGCGGGGTCAGGGTCCAAAAACACAAGGGATTTGCCACATTTCTGAAATTCGGTGCCACCCCTCACGCAGATCCGCGGGGTCAGGGTCCAAAAACACATGGATTTGCCACATTTCTGAAATTCGGTGCCACCCCTCACGCAGATCCGCGGGGTCAGGGTCCAAAAACACATTTGCCCTCGAACCCATCACGCACATCCATCGCAAGGCGTGGTAACCCAAACTGCGAGAACTCCCTCGGCCCTTTAATCGCAAGGTGTGGTAACCAAGCCCGTAAACCATACACGTCTTACCAATCGCCAGGTGTGGTAACCCCTCTTGTGATCAGTTGGTTTTGCTGATTGCGATCGGCTTCGCATGAAGTTTCGATACTGCTTCACGACAACGCCAAGGCCTCATGACTTAGCTCTTCCATGGCCCATTCTCCGAGAGAGGGGGCCGGCGGCAGGGGGCGAAGCCCTTACGGATAATGATGCTGCTGATGATGATGATGCTGCGATGAGGATGATGATGATGATGATGATGATGATGATGATGATGATGATGATAGTGATGATTCTTGATGATGATGAGGTGATGATGATGAGAGATGATGATGAGGCTGATGCTGATGAGAGGATGGTGGTGGTGGTGGTGATGATGAGATGGTGATGGTGAAGGTGATGATGATATGAGATGATGATGGATGATGATGATGGATGATGATGATGATGATGATGATGATGATGATGAGATGAGGATGATGATGATGATGAGATGATGATGACGACGACGACGACGCGACGACGGACGACGACGACGACGACAGAAGAAGACGACGACTACGACGACGACGACCGACGACGAACGACGACGAGATGATGATGATGATGATGATGATGATGATGATGATGATGATGATGATGATGATGATGATGATGATGATGATGATGATGATGATGATGATGATGAGGAGGAGGAGGAGGAGGTGGAGGAGGAGGACGAGGAGGAGGAGGAGGACCGGAAGGTGGAGGAGGAACCGGAGTAGCTGGAGGGCTACAAAGAAGAGGAAGAGGACGAGGAGGACGAGGAGAAGGAGCTCAGGAGGGGCAGGAGTGCGACGACGACGACGACGATGATGTCGACGACGATGACGACGACGACGACGACGGCGACGGCGGCCGCGGCGACGCCGGCGGCGGCGACGATGACGACGATGACGACGACGACGGCGGCCTCCGGCGGCTCGGCGGCCCAGAGAGCGCCGCCCCCGGCGGCAGAGGCGCAGCAGCTCCACGCGCAGTCGCAGGCTGCGCAGCTGAGCGCCTCCAATGGCCGCAAGTTCGTCGCGCCTGGCTCCGCCCAGGCGCCCCCGGCGGCGGCCGCTGGCGGCCTCTCGGGCGGCCTCTCGGGCGGCCTCTCGGGCGGCCTCTCGGGCGGCCCCTCGGGCGGCCCCTCAGGCGGCCTCTCGGGCGGCCCCTCAGGCGGCCTCTCGGGCGGCCTCGGGCGGCCTCTCGGCCTCTCGGGCGGCCTCTCGGGCGGCCCCTCAGGCGGCCCCTCGGGCGGCCCCTCGGGCCCCCGCTCGCTCGCGCCCTTCGTGGCCCCATACGCATGCCCTTCGTTGCCCCGCTGTCGCCCTTCGTGGCCCCCTTCCTGCCCTTCGTGGCCCCGCTGTCTCTCTCACTCTCGCTCTCGCTTTCGCTTTCGCTCGTCGTTGTCGTCGTCGCCGTCGTTGCCGTCGTCGTCGTCGTCGTCGTCGACGTCGTCGTGGGCGGCCCCCTGTCCGTCCCTCTTGGGGTCGGGTTGCCGCCGATCAGCGCTGCCGCTGGCCAGGCTGACGGTCCGCGGCCGCCCCGCCGCTTGCTGGGGCCCGGCCTGCAGGGAAGAAAGATACACCCCCCAAAAAGGGTACGATCGAAGACGACGAGGGCGGGTATCGAGGGTCTGGGAAAGTACAGGTTGAATGACACTCGAGCAGACAAGAGCGAACAGTCTTAAAATGATTGTTGTGGCTGTTGTTGATGAGTTCGCATTCCTACAGGATCGTTATTGTTGACCCCCCCCCCTGCGCGATCACCGTTGTACGTTTCAATGAAAGTGCCCCCGGCTTTTTCGAATGGACAGCGAGGTGTCGCCAAACTGGGCCCCTGGCCTCCGATGTGCAAAAGCAGCGGCTCCCGCCATACACTTCCTCACGATTTATTTGAGCATCGCGCTCTCGCGCTGTCTTGGGGGCTGCGCGAGGTACACGCTCCATGTGAGAAAGATATACACCCAAGTGGGGCACGGTCGAAGGCGAAGAGGGCGGCCATCGAGGGTTTGGGATGTGTGTGGTATGTGTTGAATGGCGCGCGAACGGACAAGAGCGAACAGTCTTGGAATGACTGTTGCTGAAGTTCTTTGTCTTTGTCGATGATGCTGATGCTGTTGGTGATGGTTATGATGATGCTGATGAGGATGATGACAGCTACGCTGATCATGATGATGACGGCGATTGTCATGATGATGCTGACGATGATGCTGATAATCATGATGATGAGGTGATGACGATGATGTTGACGACGGCGGCGACGACGCCTAAGAATACTACGACTATGGCGCTGCTGCTGTTTTTTTTTGCTGTTGTTGATGCTGCTGCTGATGATGATGGTGATGAGGTTGTCGTTGGTGGTGGTGGGTGATGGTGATGGTGATGGTGATGGTGATGACGAAGACGACGACGATGCTGATGATGATTATGATGACGATGATGAGGGTGATGATGGTGATCATGCTGATGACGATGATGACGATGAGGATTAGGATGATGATTATGTTGACGATGATTTGATGCTGTTGAAGATGATGCTCATGCTCATGATGATGGTCAGGATGATGATTATGCTGGTGATGCTGCTGTTGACGATGATGAGGATGATGATTCTTTATGATTATGATGGTGACGATGCTGCTGATAATGATGACGATGACGATGACGATATGGATGCTGCTGAGGCTGATGGTGAAGATGGTGGTGGTGGTGATGATGCTGGTGATGATAATGATGATGCTGATGATAATGATGTTGATGCTGATGACGATGATGCTGCTGATGATGATCATGATGCTGCTGCTGATGATGGTGCTGAGGATGCTGATGAATATGATGATTATGCTTTTGCTGTTGTTGATGATGAAGATGCTGATGATGATGATGATGAGGAGGAGGAGGAGGAGGATGAGGATGAGGCTGAGTATTATTATGATGATGCTGGTGCTGATGATGATGCTGATGCTGATGATGATGCTGATGCTGATGATGATGCTGATGAGGATGATGTTGATGTTGAGGATGCTGATGAGGATGATGTTGATGTTGAGGATGCTGATGATGATGCTGATGATGATGCTGCTGCTGATGATGCTGATGCTGCTGATGATGATGATGCTGCTGCTGATGATGATGATGATGACAATG